AAAATCAATCATTATTTGGTGAAAATGCTCTCAAACATTGTCCATGTTCACAAACTGTACATACATCATTGATTCTCTTGTGTCCTGTGACCAATTTAATTTTCATTTTCGATTTTCATTTTTTGGGTGTATTGTTCCTTTAAAGAAAAATTGCTACACTGTATCCACTGCACTGCCCTAGGCAAGCTACCTCTGTACAGGATGTGAAGCAATCTCTACAGGCTATATGTTGAATGCTTATGTTCAAATTTGAGAATACTTCTGCTCAAGGGCTATTGGTTAGTTTTTATAGGAACATTTTTACTACTACAGCATTGTTTTATCATTATTATTATTTAATTATACTTTTAATTGTTTGAGAAATTGTCTTAGATTTTAGCAGTAATCTTAATAGTGTAGATGCGGCATGTCTATTTTTGACTGGATAGATCTGTGCAAAGATCACCATTTAACATCTATTAATTATTTAATGTTTCCTGTTCATGTTCTTTTTTTTTGTTTTTTTGGTAATGCATGTAGGATTTTAGCCATATCATGTTTTTTTTTAAATCATTTCATTTGTGCAGCTGACGTCTGAAACTCTTAAAATGACAATAAATATTTAAAAATTTTAACCATTTTTTAATGATTAGTCATTTCTCATTCTCAAAAAAGTAATTTCTCAAAAAAAAAACATTTAATATTTTACCCCATGACATTTTGTAAACATTGACCAAAAATTAGTGAAGGCGGTGCGGTTTCACGTATGCTGACGAGGTGATTTAAATGCTCTTTGCAGTTCCTCGTTCAGGATGTGCGCTGAATTTTTCTCGGTAAGCCACAACGTGGTTGCATCAGTTCTGCCAGGGCTGCTGAGAGTTTCACAAGCTCCTCTACCAAAGGCATTGGTGAGTGAAGCCAATATTTGATGCTCAGAATGAACCTCAATCCAAATGTATATTAACTGTGTTGTGTGTATGTTTTTGTATGTCTGACTTCAGCAAACAGACACACCAATGGATGAATATGATGATAATGACTGGTTCAGTTTTTTTAACGGCTCCAATGACGCTGGAAACGAAGACACAGTCGTATCTGAAGAGGTTCATTTATGCAAGAAAAGTGATGTGATCCAGTTCGGTGCAGCATTTCTCCCAGCCTTCTACTACACTAACTTCTTGCTGAGCTTGGTTGGAAATGGACTGGTGCTGTGCATCATCTACAAATATGAGAAGCTCAGCACGGTTACCAACATATTCTTGCTCAACCTCGTCATTTCGGACCTCATCTTCGCCTCCAGCCTTCCTTTTTGGGCAGTCTACCACAAATCGGAATGGATCTTTGGCAGAGGCCTTTGCAAATTGGTGGGAAGCTGTTATTCCATCGGCTTCAACAGCTCCATCCTCTTCCTCACCCTCATGACCTTTGACCGCTACCTTGCGGTCGTCCACGCCATCACAGCAGCCCAGAGCAGGAGGATGGCGTACGCGTTTGTGTCGTCCGCCACCATCTGGGTGCTCAGTATATTGGCTAGTATAAAGGATATCGTTTTTCACGATGTGATGAACGATGGAGACCGTTTGCTGTGCGAAATGACTGGTTACCACCAGAGTTTCCTCACAAAATGGGAGCTGATTGGTTATTATCAGCAGTTTTTCCTTTTCTTCTTGGTGCCTCTGGTTATCGTCCTGTACTGCTACATCCGCATAACCATCAGAATCATGTCCACTCGCATGATGGAGAAGTGCAGGGCGGTCAAACTCATCTTTGTCATCGTCTTCACCTTCTTCATCTGCTGGACGCCTTACAACGTGGTCATCCTGTTGAAAGCCATCAAGACGTCCTTTGGAGACCAGAACGATTGCTCCAACGCCCTCGACTATGCGCTGTACATAACCCGAAACTTTGCTTACCTGTACTGCTGCATCAGCCCTGTCTTCTACACTTTTTTGGGGAAGAAGTTTCAAAACCATTTTCTGAAGCTTTTGTCCAAGCATATACCGTGTCTGAAGATTAATGCTGCCTTTCTGTCAACGACAAGCAAAACCACATCAATCAGGAGCCCAAACACTGACTACTGAGCATTTACGGGACTGTGGTTTGTATGTATGAAAAGTGATTTGTTGAGAAATTTGTTGTCAGGAGGACACAGGAGCACCAACATAAAAGAAAAATACCAATTGAGCATTATTGAGCATATGTTCAATAATTTCTCATTCAGTGTACATAATGAATAGTGCATGTCTAATGAGCTCCATCAATTTCATATATATACATATATAATTTTTTTAATGCATATTAATTAATAGTTTATGTCTAATTTGTTCCATCAGTTTTACCAAGTTGAGCAAGAGCATTGATGATAATTGTTATATTTTACTGTCCATTTGATGTATATATGTAAATATTCATTACAAATATCCCTTTGATGATATCAAAACCAGAAAAAAATAGTAAAGTAAAAATAAAATAAAATAGAAAAAAATTAGCTTCTGTGATGAAAGATTGTCATTGTAACATATTGTGTATTGTGTAACCCTAGTCCTAATCTATGGGTTCCTTTTCAACATAGCCATTAAATATCTCCTTACCTGTGTAATATTCTGTTTTGTGTCAAATATATTGTTGTAAAGATTTTTATAAGTAGGTTAAATTATTTTTGTTTTTTTTGTGTGATTAATTTCTGGTGTATTCTGAGAAAAAATATATTAGCGACAGGAAGCTTTCTGATATCATCTTTTTTTATTTTGATGCCCTGTTCTTTAAACAGAATGAAACTCACACGTTTGCCCCTTTAAATGTCTCAGAAATTTGTAAACTTCCTGTCTTGTCAACACCTAAATGCATCCTGTTCATTGGATCATTATGAATCATTAGATCTTTATTTTGAGCATGAACTCATTCTCTGCATCGTGTTCTTTTGGTTCTGTAAAATATGAATTTTTTTATCCGTGACAATAAATCATTCTAAATAATCTGTTTGGTTGCCGTTGTTTTCTTTTAAGACACAAGCATTGTTATTATTTTAATTTTTTTGCTCTCTTTTCATTGCATCATACTAAGTAACATCTTTTAGTGCTTTGTAGTTGACACTTTTCTTATTAGGAAAGGCGTGATTAAATCTCTTGAGGTTTCCAGGCCACTACTGTTGGTATTTCTATAGTTGTTTTCAGGCAGCAGATTGTATGAGCTTTACTGTTTGCATTCCTATCAGCAGTCATCAGTACTTGGCTCATTTGCTCATGGTTAATTGAATATTTAAGACAAAATATCATTTTGACTGGTTTAAATTAATTATAATAAATGAATCCAGTCAGTTGCTGTCTGTGAAGCTAAGTAAAATGTACATCCACCAGATCTTGCCAAATAAGAATGTTGCAGAATTCTGCAAAAATACAAAATAGTTTCAAAGAAAAATTTATTCTGAATTTTTTTTTCTTTGGTACTGATTCCGATTTTTATTTATTTATATATTTATTTTTTCTTAAAGGGGTCATATGATGCGATTTCAATTTTTCTTTTCTCTTTGGAGTGTTACAAGCTCTTGGTGCATAAAGAAGATCTGTAAAGTTTCAAAGACTAAAGTCTCAAATCCAAAGAGATATTCTTTATAAAAGTTAAGAGTCAACCACGCCTACCTAAAACGGCTCGTTCTAACACGCCCCCACATGTCTACGTCACGATGTGGGAAGATTTGCATAATGCCGCCCAAATGTTCACGCAAAGAAAGAAGGAGTAACTTTTATTCTCGCTGTAGTATTGTTGTTGCTGCCACCGCCATGTTGTGGAGTCGGGTGTGCTTCGTTGTGAAAGCAAAACTACTTTGTTTGGTCTTCCAAAAGAGGACGATATCCGCTTCGTCATGCCTAGAGCTGATGCGTGCTGGTTTCTGAGGAAATACATCAACTTCGTGCTGTGAATCGCCGGATGGGCTTTCACCGTGGACGAAGTGGAGTCCAGCCCGGGGTCGTCACATGTGGTTGCCTCAAGCCTGCCGGCTGCTCCTTCGTTGAATCCGCCGGCCGCGCCTTTCTCAAGCCCGCCGCCTCTGCTCACTCTAGCCCTCCGGCCGTTCTTCACTCTAGCCCGCCGTGTGTGACGGCGTGTGTTTCGTTGTGAAAGCGAAACTACTTTGTTTGGTCTTCCAAAAGAGGACTCGACTAGAAATCAGTGGTTAAGTTGTATTTACAACACTGTTCCAGAACACTTCAACCCAAATATTCAGATGTGTGCAGCGTATTTTATGGAGGACTGTTTCCTGATCCTGGTAGAGTAGACTACAATGCCGGCTGTTCTGACTCACAGACTGTAAGTACGTTTTTTATATTTAAAGAATTTGCCACTGATGATTCAAGCACGAGTTTTGAGCAGTGTAGAGTAGCGTTTGTAGTTTGTCATTTCTCCGATCACAAATGCAGTCATGGTTTTATGTTTACGCGGCGCAATGCAACGCAGCGCATAAAAAGACAGTATAAGTCATTATAATCAGTAATTATGTCCCCACTGGATGCAACAAATGCCTCGTTTGTAATGGGTTTTATTGGTGTTGTCTCATCGCGCCGGGACACAGCATCACAGTATGGTGAGGGGCATAACATTTCCGTCACACGCTTGGGGTATTCAGCCAATCACAACGCACTGGATAGCTGGCAAATCAGAGCACACCTCGCTTTTCAGAACGATGAGCTTTGTAAAAATCTATGCATTTCAGAAAGGTGGGGTATGAGGAGAAACAATAATGTACAGTATGTGGAAAATAATGTGTTTTTTTAACCTTAAACCGCATAAACACATTTCATTACACCAAATACACAAAATAATGTTCTTTTTAGCAACATCATATATGACCCCTTTAACGAAAGTCCACAGGATATACAGGAACTATCCAAGATGTAGACCATGCAACTGACAAATACTGAGTAGCCTATATTTTGGACAAGTTCGGCGTGCAGGACAACCGAATGAAACAAACAAACACCACTAAAATGTAATAATCAGCAATATGCGTTCACATATGACTTTATTTGAATGTTTCAGCGTGACCTACCATAACACTTAGAGTTATTGGAAATACGTAAGGGGAGTAAAAGAACCGGTTCATTGAAACGAATATCCATACAAAATATGAGAAAAGCTGAGTCCCAAATGATGCACTACACTCTATGCACTCCTGCACTATGTACTCAACCATAGTATGAGTTATATAAGGTTATTTTGTCATTCATGATCAGAGTCTGATAGCCCCTCCCCTTTCGCTACGCAATTAAAGCTGCGACAGATGAGTGCATGAAGTGTCCAAGATTTATTTATTATTATTTTTTTGCATATGAACAACAAGAGAATTACAACGTTGCATATAAATGCCGCATGAAGTGTCCAACATTCCACACTTCGTTTTTCGGTTATTTAAGTGCACTTTTTCATTTTGGAATCTTCAGTGTAAACACGCTACTCGCACTAATTATACTATAAAACGTCATAGAATAGTGCATAAGCACGAGATTTGGGACGCACCTACTCCCATACTCCCAAATACTCCAATCTTCCCATCAGTTTCACTAAAGTCTAAAACCAGGACCGTATGCCTCCTTTACCAGCTAAACATGCACATGCATATTTGTGCTTATTTATAATCTTTGAATTAATTTATAATCTAAATTCATATTATAATCTCTTCTAAACTCATATACATATCTTTCCTTTTTTTTTTTGGATTTTACGAGTTGTTAATTGCATAAACAATCATTTTCTGTCGTGAAAACACAGTTTCCCAGAAGCACTTGTTCATTAACAGGGTCCTGAAGGCTCAACAATCCCTTCATCCAATCATATCCAGTCACCACAGGGACGACCAATCAGCAGCCAGTCGCCATCCAGACATCCAGTCAGCGTCCAGATAATGCGCGGGTGGGGTGAATGACGTCACCCCGCTCATAGCTGGAGGGGGGAAAACAGAAATCAATCTGACGGAGCGTTTCCATTGGTTACAGGCTCCTGGTACCCAGGAAAGAGGATGTAGCATCTCCTGCGGTAGCATAGCAAACAGGGCAAATGTGAGGAAAGGGCGGCTGATGTGCGGGTAAATATGGGACGGATAATGGCCATATGAACGAGGTGATGATTCACCGTCAGGTGATACTGACCCAGGTGAGTGAGTGTATGTGTATTACTCTAATGTACCGCTAGCCAGGCGTGATTTGCGATGTCTGCAGCGAGAGGCAGCGGATGACAGCACGGTAACAGTCACTAGGCTTCAGCAGTGTAGCGCGCTGCGAAATACTGCTGTTTTAAAAGCTGCTTTGTTTCATTTTGCCTAGTGTTATTCAGATGATGTTCAGCATCAGTCGCGGCCTCGCGCGTCTTTGTGTGGTGCGCGCGTGCGTTTGCGTGCTCGTGCTCGTGCGTTTGCGTGCTCGTGCGTGTGTATTTGGGCCAGATGAGCATCCTCATCCTCATCCTCATTCTCATTCCTGACCCCTAAACTCGACACAGCAACACTACACCTAAAGCCATATACAATATGTATTATTTACACGTGTATGTTGTGTGATGTATGATGTATGTGTGTGATATATGTGTGTGTGTACATACTCATACTCGTATATACATATATGTCTATATACATAGGCCTTCCGAATAGATGGCACATTAACTATAGCAACAATTTGTCCTTATTTAGCATTCTTTAGTATTATTTAGGGCTGCACGATTATGACAAAAATCATAATTGTCTATTATTCCCTTGAAATTGTAATTGCGATTATTAATTACGATTATCACAATTTACATTGAATGATGTTTATACCATTGTTTTATGCAACTGCATGCCATATTTTTATATGAAATAAAAACCCTGAAAATATGAAAACACTAACTGAAAAACTTTTAGTGCTTTTCTGTAGTATTAAGCATCAAATGTCAACTATACATCGGATTGGTTTCTTCTTTAAATGATAAAAAAAGTAAAAATATGAATGGTATTATAATGTTATACTAAAACGAAAATTAAAAAATTGGGAAAAACCCTTAAGATAACATGTAGAAAGAAAAAAAACGCATCTTACGCACGCAGAATAACATAAGTGGACTTTGAACGATTACGTAATTGTGGCATCCATAATTGTAAACGCGATTAGAAATTCGATTCATTGTGCAGCCCTAGTATTATTACTTAATTTTACATTTTTTACATCAAAAAAGCATTTGACGTTTTTCTTTTAAATAGTTGAAAAGCTGACCGTAGCAGGGACACTAAAATCGGGAATTAAAATGGGTAAAAAAATTACTTTCAAATTATTACTAGACCTTTTGAGAGTTATCAATCAGAGAATTATCAACTTTTTTATAATAAATAATAAAAGTCAAACTTTCTGAGGCTCGTTAAATAAATCACAAACTACCCAAACCTTAATCTTAAACCTTACAATATACGCTTAAACTACGCCTCATATTAAAATGTCTACACCTAAACTCCATCCTAAGTAGATGCAAATTAAGTTGAGATGAGCTCAGACAGTCATAGATCGATAATCATTTTAGATTATGTAACTGTTCATGGCTGTATGCTAATATAGTCACTTAAAAATCTGATGAAAATATTTACATTGGAAAATAACAAGCCATTTTCTGTCTTCAAATAACAAATGAAACTCAGCAGAACAGTGTTGCCATATGAAATTCAATATAAACAAGTGAATAACATAGTAATATATGTGAAAGCTGATGTCTGGGACGGACGATAAGCTGGTTGTCCGTGTTTAGTTGGGGACATGTGTTCGTTACTCAGGAGTCGTTAAGAGCAGGAATCATTTAGGCGAGGAGCAGAGATGAGGCAGATTAGTATTGATTCACCTGAGACCAGCAGTCTATTGATTCGCTCTGAAATCAGCATCAAGAGACAGAAAAGCTTCAGAAGAAAAAAAAGGCCTTGTTCCTTTCCAGGCTGAAGTGCTTCCTGTTGAACGACCTTCACATGATGACGTGGACATTATTGAGTGAACTGACTTCATACGTTTTTATTTATACATGACGTTTACTGTAAATGCGTTCCCAGAGCACGTCTGCTCATATCTGATTTTACGATTATGTAATTTTATAATACAATATTTCCATTAGTATGTCTTATAGATTAAAAATATGGGAACACTTTACAATAAGGTTCCATTTGCCAACATTTGTTAATTATTAATAAAAAACGCTTCATTTATTTGTATTTTTTTTTAAATGTATTTAAAAAGATTAATAACATTTCTTATTAAATGTTAATTTCTACATTTACTATACAGATCTAAAGTTTAATGGACCTGAGCATGAACTATGAATGGTTGTATTTTTATTAACTGATGTTAAAAAAGATTAATAAACACTTTATCAAATGTATTGCTCATTCTTAGTTAATATTAGTAAATGCATTAACTAATGGGATCTCATTGTAAATTGTTACCAAAAATGTATTAATGTAGTGTACTTTTATAATTATTATACTATATACTTAAAATATATAATTTAACATTTATTTTATTATATTAAAACTACAGTAAAACTAAAATACATAATAAAAATAGTATGTGAAAAATTGTGCACCATTTACTAAACTGATTTCACAAAGCATTGCATTTTTAATTGAGTGGCATATGGTTATAATCTAAAATCTAAATAAAATGTAATCTAAATAAAATTACATACAGTGGGTACGGAAAGTATTCAGACCCCCTTAAATTTTTCACTATCTAAAATCCAGTTTTTATGCATGCATGCAGATTTGAATAATTGCATTTACATTTATGCATTTAACAAACACTTTTGTCCAAAGTGACTAAGAAGAACAAAACCAGCAATATATATATATATATATATATATATATATATATAGCATACAATGCAAGTGACATCCTGTTATAATTTGCAAAACAGCATTTACATTTATGCATTTAGCAGATTATTTTGTACAGTAGAAGAACATAAGCAATTTGTTACAAAACAAGCAATATTCATATACAATCAATGCCAGGTCTCTCATGGTAAACAAACTGCGAGGTTCAGAAATAGTAGCATGGTAGTTAATGCCATTAAATATAAATGCAAGATGTTAGCAGATTTATTGCCGTGTTCTGTGCCATGCTAGAGTCTGTTCTACGTCATAGAGGAGATTACATACTTCAGATCTTCTTTCCAGCAGAATTGTGACTTGATCTCTGTATTCTGCAGAGAAATATCGGTTACACTTTACTTGAAGGGGTGTGCATAATCATGACATGACACCTACATAATCATGACATGACACCTACATAATCATGACATGACACATCTCTTGAATATTAAGGTTTTTTATGCATGTTTATGACAACTGTCATTAAGTGTCATTCGCTCAGTTATGTAATTTTTAATGCAAAGATGACATTGTTTGAGATGTCTTTGTTATGGGCTATGGTTAGGGGTAAGGGTAGGGGTAGGGTTAGGTCAAATAATGTTATATTTGCATTAAAAATGACATAACTGAGCGAATGACACTTAATGACAGTTGTCATAAACATGCATAAAACCTCCTTCATATTCATGACATGTGTCATGTCATGATTATGAAGGTGTCATGTCAGTCTTATGCACACCCCTTCAAGTAAAGTGTTACCGAAATATCCTGCTCCCATAGGCCTGCGTGCTCCGTTATGTAAGTGCATTAAGATTCTCGGGTTTCATTTTGGCACGGCGAGCCTGACGCTGCTCCAGCTAATGCATCTCATCGTGTGCGAGACGCAGACACACACAGTGGTATTTAATGGAGTCTGTCCCCGGGGCCTTAATGATTATGATTAATTAATCTGTGTCAGTGTGATTGCAAGGTGCATTGTTAAAGCTTCCTTTCATCTTGTAAACACAAATGAGCCCATTGGAGGATTCAGTTTGTTTCGGCGTGTCACAACGATTCAATCAGCGTCGGAATTTACATTCCAACTATTTTCTGTCAACAAAATGGAGTAAAGCAGTGACCTCATTACAAAAATTGTTATCTGCCCTCTCATTAACCTTTATGAGGGTCATGTGTGTCCGCATCGCTGGAGGTCTGCTGATGATATTGCTGTGCTGCGATTGGCCCTCTGACCTGCAGTGACCTTCCTGCACTGGCCAGGCAATCGTGGCAGATAAAGCCCTGACCGAATTCACATCATTGGTCGTGTCTTATGTACATGCATTTCAGTTCAATGTGATGCAATTCCAGACTGTCTTTGGCCAGTCAACATTTGCTGAGCGTTAAAGGCACAATATGTAAGATTTTTTTATTAAAATATCCAAAAACCACTAGAACCGTGTTATATATTTTGCTGACTTGTGTACTTACATTATCCCAAATGTTTCGAAGAATGTTTAAATCCAGAGAAATAAGCCATTTTAAGTTGACATTTTGAAGTTTTAAAAATTACATTACTGTTCAAAATGTTTGGGTCGCTAAGACTTCTTAATGTTTTTTTCTTAATGTTTATTTGATAAAAAATACAGTCAAATCAGAAATCTTGTAAAATATTATTACATTCTAAAATAACTGATTTATATTGGAATATATTTTAAAATATAATTTATTTCTGTGATGTAAAGCTGAATTTTCAGCATCATTACTCCAGTCTTCAGTGTCACATGATCCTTCAGAAATCATTCTAATATGCTGATTTGGTGCTCAAGAAGCATTTCTTATTAACTGTAGAATCTGATACATTTTTTGATGACTAGAAAGTTCAAAAGAACAGCATTTATTTAAAATGATTTAAATCTTTTGTAACATTAGAAATGTACTGACATTTTTGATCAATGTAATGTGTTCTTGCTAAAAAAAATTATTTGCTTCTTTAAAAACAACTTGCTGACCACAAACTTTTGAATAGTAGTACTTAGGGATGTGCGGGTTTAGTCGGTACAAGGGTATAGCTCCTACTAGTCGACACTAAAAACAATAGTCGATTACACTACAGAAAGAAAAAGAAAAACATGATTCTATCATTCAAATTACCATCATTTTAACATTGCATTTAAAACAAGTTAAAATAAAACGTTTGAAAAATAATACATTATTTTTAAAAGTTTATCTGGGCAGAAACGACATTTTTACCTCAGACCTCACATGCGTTTTCTTCGTGTCAGTTGCGGCGAGTTCAAAA